GCGGCTGACGCCCCCCAGGTCGCGCAGTGCATCCGGGCTGCAGAGCCCGTGCTGAGCGCCACGCCGGCCTGGTTGCCCTCTCAGTTGGCCACAGGGTGGACCGCGTCATCTCGGACCATCTCAGCTTCGCCCAGGAGGGCAGGAGGTGGGGCCTGCGGGAGGAGTCTGCATCAGCCAAGCATGCGCAGCTCTCGCGGCGCATGCGGCAGGTGGTTGCGGCGCGCGGGGATACCACTGCCCCGAACTTCAATGGGCGCCTTCGCACCTGGAGCTGGGGGCCGCGCTCGCACGGGGAGTTTCGACATGCGCGCACCGCCGACCCCGCAGGAGCGGCGCGCACAATTTGCCGACGCTGCGCGCGTTAGCCACCGCCCAGCGCTGGATGCAGGCGCTCGACGCCCAGCCTTGCAGGCGCACTCCGCTCAGCCAGGCGCGCAGCGCGCAATGGGCCTGCCGGGCCCAGCGGCAGTCCTCAGCGGAGTCGCAGGCAGCTGCAGAGGACCAGGCAGCTGCGGCCGACGCGTCGCTGCAACGCAAGGTCCGTTTTCTCTTCTCCGCGGCTCGCGAGGAGAGGCCAAGCCAGAACGACCAGTTTGCCGAGCTGAGGGTGGCTACCCTCGGCGCCGTGGATCTGGGCGGGGACGATGGCCCAGGTGCGAGGGCGCCAGGAGCGGAGCACGGTTGGCAGAGGGGCCACCCGAGCACGCGCTCGGCTTGGCCGCGGAGCTTCACAGGATAGGCAGCAGCGTCTAGCCAGGCACCCATATGCAATCGTGGGGCCGCCAGGGTGAAGTGGTCAAGGACGCGGACGCGAGGCCCCCTCCGATCGCGAGCGAGGCCCCCTTGCGAAGGCAATCGCTGCGAGGTGGACACCGAGGGCCACGAGCACTGGGTCAGTCGTTGGCGGCATCTACATAATTGACGATGTAGCTGCCACCTCGGGCGCGGGGCCAGGCACTGCGGGCGGCCGTGCAGTTGCCTCTGGATGTCATGCGATCGGGCGCAGGGTCAGGCGTTGAGGGCAGCGGCATAATTGCCCATGGGAGTCATACTTCGGGAGCGGGGTCAGGCGCGGGGGGCAGCCGCATCATGGCTCCTGGCGTCGGCCGCGAGGAGTGGCCCTGCGAGTTGCCTGACCCCGACATGGACGGCGCCTTCGAACTCGTCGGCAGCCCCAGGTGTGCGAGCAAGCGCACGCAGCCGACGGGGGTTTGCCTGGCGGCGAGTATAGCGAGATCGAGTTCGCGTGGGTCGGCAGCCCGCGTCGGCTGGAGCGGGTCAGCGACGTGCCAGACTTCGACGCGGTTGGATCCATCGAGCCAGAAGGCATTCAGGAGGCGTCGACGGCAACTGGCACGAGGAGGATTGGCGGCAAATTCGGGGGTGTTGTGCCCAGCAAACGCGAGGCCCTCCAGGGGGGGGGGGGAGGCGACGCCCCCGCGAAGAAGCCGCGCGGGAGCCGCCGCAGAGGAACTGTCAGGACTGACGACGGTGAGTGCGAGCCGGTCGACAGCCCCAGGCGCGAGCAAGGGCGTGCCGACGGGAATTGGCCTCCCGGAGGGGGTCAGACGTTAACCCTGTGCTCCTGATATTAATCCCCTGGGGACAATAAAGTTCGGAGTTCAGGGGGGATAATGAACGTGTTCCCGGAGATCGCAGCAAACTGATGATGAATCTGATGGCAAGGATGCTGATCAAGATGGTCCCGGACGCTGTATAGAGATCCTTACGCACTCAATCGGGTTCCGTCGGCAGTCCATACGATTCCTCAGGACAGTCACAGGATCTCCCATGCAGTCTACAGGAGTCCTGCCCTGGGGAACCCATCTAGCATTCCGTCAACCACGGGGCCCGCGAGCCACGAGGCCCAGCAGCCCGCGAAGGAGTTTCCCCGACGAGCGCGGGCGGCCCCATGGGCAGCCGCTCCCGCGCCGAGTCCGCGGCCCGACCTCGGCCGTCCTGCGGCGGCCGCGGCGGCGGGCAGGACGGGCCCCGCCGCGGCCCCACTGGTGCTGCCCTGCGGAGTTTCCTGCCCTGATGCGGCGTCGGTTGGCGATTCTGCTCAGAGTTAAATCGGGCCTGTCCCCCTGCAGGGGGATCTTCGATGAAGAATTGAGAATCCCCCAAGAATGCCCCCCAAAAAGGTAGGATAATACTCAAAACATAGTCCCCGTACGATTTTTTGTTTTTTTGTGTTTACTATTTTGGGGGTATTTTTTGTTTTTCGTCGAAGATCCCCCTGTAGGGGGACAGGCCCGACTTAAGTTTAGAGTTGTCGTTTCCACGAACTCGAAAAATAGTAGCCGGGCGTGTGTTGCTAGCCCGCACGATGAGACAAAGAGCGAGGTCAGGAATCCCTGCTCGTCGAATCGGCTGGAGGACCTGGGGATTCTCATAGCTCCTGATGGCTCTCCTGCGAAGCGATGCGCCAACACTGTCCACTGAACGCCCCTCCCCCCGTGAATCAAGAATTGGGGGGGGGACGCCAAAAATCGCAAGCACAGCCCCGCTGGACTGCACGCTCCCATAACGAAATCTCATATGGGTGAAAGAGGTCAGTTTGGGAATACGAAGCGCCCCGCTGATGAGCTTGGTAGCGTCGCGAGGAGTTGATATTCTTGAGAAAGCAGGATGAATATGGCGATGGATATGGATGATGAGGAGGAGGAAGAGGACCAGAGTAAACCAAAGGCTTCAGCGACGCTGCAACACACCCTCCCGCCCCAAGTCACCTCCTCATAATTACGCCCCTGCAGGTGTTTCTTTACTGCGAGCAGCGCCCATCTTTGAAATACCAGCACAGTCTGGCCTGCCGTTGTGGAGAGCGCCGCGTGTTGAAAGGGAATCGCGTAGCATTTGTCTGGCGCGTCATGAGGAGCACGACGAGCTATGACCATGCAGTTCCCCGAGGGGTCCAGCGATGTCCCCTCCCGAAGCAGGCCCGCCCCCCATCCGTGCCATTGCTGTGCAGGCTTGCGTGTGTGAGTACGAACGCCGAGGAAGCCTCAAGCGGCAACCCCAGTGTGAAACAACGCCCTGGGTCCGACAGCGCCACATGCTCTCGGCATCGCTCGGACGTGTGCATTTTTTCTCGGCCATGACCATCGAGGAGCATCCTTGATCATTTGGCGAAAAAACCACGCACGAAACCGAAAAAAACACAGGGAATGGACGTCCGAGCGATGCCCAGGTGTGAAACAACGCCCTGGATCCGACAGCGCCACGTGCTGTGACGTTCCGGATAAACGGTCGGCGGCGGGTCACGCGAGAACCCCAGTTAAGACACCAAAGCCGCTTTTGATCCTGCCAAGCGCCACACACAAGCCGAAGGCGCGCGGCGCCGAGGCGAGAGTTCCGTTTCGAACATGACCGCTGCTTCATCCTTCGAGCTGTTGCGGGCTTTCAGGACGAATGCTCGCGGCGTTCTGGCGAGGGCACAGCTTCGAAAAGGAACCGCCCTCCATCCCCGAAGCCGTTACGCTTTGCTATGGCAAATGTGCGTCGGCGAGCGAAGAACGGCATAACATAAACTTTTCCGCCGTCGGGGACGCTTGCCCCTGAGCGGCTGGAGAGTTTATACCCCTACAGTGCCATTGTAAGGGTGTAGACTTTCCAGCCGCCCTGGGTCAGGCGCCCCTCGACAGCGGCACAAGTTATGTTAAACCGTTACTCGCCCGTGAAGTGCGCGTCGCCCTGGCGACAGCTCCACTTCGAAAGCGCTCTGCCCTCCCATCTGTGAACGCGTTGCGAACTTTAAGACGACCGTGCGCGGCGCCTGGGCGAGAACCACATTTGAAAATATCCTCCCCTCCATCCTTGAATATGTTGCGAACTTGTAAGACGAATGCGTGCGGCGCTAAGGGGAGAGCCACATTGTGACAACGCTCCCCCCTGTATCCGTGAAGCTGCTGCCAAGATGAGAGTCACATCTTCTAAACTGTCGCAAACTTGAACAGCGAATGCGCGCGGCGCAAAGGCCTTGTTTTTACAAGGAACCGCCGTCCATCTCTGAACTTATTGGACACTGCTACGACGAACGTGCGTGGCGCTCAGGCGACAACCGCATTTTGAACATTGTCCCTTCCATTCTTGGAGCGATTGCAGACTTTTGCAATAATGTGCGTGGCGCCAAAGCGAGAGTCACACCTTGAACATGGCCCTCTCCGTCACTCAAACTGCTGCAGTGTTTTAGCGATACGGCGATACCTACACCTCGGAGACTGCCCCCCATCCAGCCGCGCAGCTGCTGCAAACTGTTCATGGCTGAAGGCCAGACACGGCGAGGAAGCCTCAGATCGAGCGCCCCCCTCCAGCCGTGCAGCTGTTGCAAACTGTTCATGGCTGAAGGTCAGACAGGGTGAGGAAGACTGCCCCCCTCCTCCTCCTCCTCCTCCTCCTCCTCCTCCTCCTCCTCCTCCTCCTCCTCCTCCTCCTCCTGTTCACGGCCGAAGGTCCGACACGGCGAGGAAGCCTCGGGTCGAGCGCCCCGCCCGCCCCGCCCGCACGGACCGGGGGCAGCAGGGGGAGCTACTTATCAGGAAGGTGGACGAGATAGATTCGTGTTCCCCCCCCTGAAGATGATCCCGCCCCGCCCCCCTCCTCCTCCTCCTCCCCTCCCCCCTCCTCCTCCTCCTCCTCCTCCTCCTCCAGCTTTTCTTCCCTCGTCCCCCCTCCTACTCCTCATCCTACACCTCCTCCTGTCCTCGGCCTCCTCCCCAGCCTCCTCCGGGTGGGCCGCAGATCCGGCCAGCCGAGCTCTTTGGCTGGGAGCTTGTGCACTCCCCCTCCAGCCTCCTCTTTTTCCTCCTTCTTCTCCTCGACTTTCTCCTGCTGTTCCTCGTCGTCGCCCTCTCATCGGACGGGGCTAGGACGAGGATAAATCAGTTCCAGAGCGTTCCAGCACGCTCTGAGAAGGCCGCGGCGTCCGATACATCCTCCAGATCCGCCAGATCTTAGAGATTCTCGATTCATCCTCACCCGATGTCGTCCTCGTGTTCTAGTTTCGCCTTGCTCCTCCTCTCCTCCCCCCCTCCCCGCTAGTGTGCCTGGAACGCCCCGCCGCCGCCCCCGCCGCGATCCCGGCGGAGGGCGGCGTCCTGAGCGGCGGCGCGCCTCGAAACCGCATCCGCCTGCCGCCGCCGCCGCCTGCCGCCGCCGCCCATCGTCGTCGCCGCCGCCCTGGCGCCCCCTGCGCCCGGCCCCCCCTCCTTCTGTCGGCGGTTCAAGGATGGGGTCCCGAGGGATGGGGTCCTCAGGATAAAGGGAGGGGCCCAGGGGTGGATATCGGCACTGTGCGAGGCGCCTCGTCCTCAGGGCCCCACCCCTCGGGGCGCCGTCTCTGGATCCAGCGATCCCCCTCTGGTGCTGCTGCGGCAAGCCCACGGCGGACGCGCCAGCCCGAAACCGCCCTCGCCGCGCGGGCCGCGCGGCCGGGGGGCTCCCGGTAGCGCCGCACGCTGGCGACGGTCAATGCCGGGGGGGGGGAGGGAGCCTTGAGACGGGGGTCAATGCAAACGGGGATCAGCCAGGGCATTGGATCCTGCAAGATCCTGCGAAGATCCCCTCTGGCTGACCTGGGTTAGCGAGCCGCTCGTGGCCGCGAGGCGGCCGCGCATATTGGCTGACCCGGGTTTGCGAAGCCCTGCGTTGCAGTTTTTATTTCCTGCATTGCAGTTGTTTGGTTTCCTGCTGACCCGGGTCTGGATTGACCCGGGTCAGAAGATCCCCGAGGGGGGGGGAAGGTAGGGTGGACACCATACACAGACGTACAGTCATCCCACATATCGACTACACGTAAGAGCGACCTTTCGCCGGAGTGGCCTTTGGTGCGGGCCCAATGGGGCCCCCCGATCGCTGAGCGCGAGGCGTTGGCAGCGGCCTGCGCGCCCAGGTTTGGCCACCCCGCGTCCCCCGTTAAGCCGCGCACCAAAGGTCACTCTTACCCAGGGTCGCTCTTACGTGTAGCCGAACATAGTAAGGATGAGAGACTTTACAAAGGCTACCCTTGCATTCTTGCCTCCTTCGGCCAATTCTTGGCTGCTCTCGTTGGCCGCGCCCCGCTCGAAGAGGGTCGACATGGCCCTTCAAAGCCCTCGTATCCTCACCGCGGATCCTTACTAGACGGGTTGACTGTGCACAAAACAAATGGTAGGGTGGAGGGGGAAGTGGTCTCGCCGCCGTCGCACCGCGTGCGACGGTGGCTATCGGATCGATTGAACCCGAGAGCAGTGGATCGAAAGCCCCAGGCCTCCTCATCCTTCTCCTCTTCCTCCTCCTCCTCCTCCTCCTCCTCCTCCTCGGTGCAACTATCGTGGGATGGAGAACGCCCGTCTGAGGACGCATCGCAGGCTGACTTTTGCACAATACATGTTCCATGAACTTCGGCCCATAGTCTCACCGCACGAATGTGTGTATCGCCCGCTTGGATCATCAATGCGCGCCAGACTGCACGAGCTGTACGCCGTAAACGTAAGCTAATACATGCACCATTCTCTCGGGGTTCATGCGCTCTTCCCCCTCCTCCTCCTCTTCCTCCTCTTCCTCCTCCTCCTCCTCCTCCTCCTCCTAGAAGCACAGCGTTGTTTACGTGTGCGTGGGCGTGCTCACGCTCGAGTCGGGTGATGTACGTACAGGGGCGGGAGCGCGAGCCCGAGGCGGACGACGGGGTCGGAGGGGAGAGGGAGCCGACGAAGAGTCCTGCACCCCCTCTTCAATCCTCCTCGGCGTACGTCCACCTACGGCGCGCAACTCAGGCTGCCGTCAGCGTGCAGGCGAGATCGGCATCCGCTGCACCTGCTGCTCGCGCTCTCTCCTCTTTGCGGTCGGAGAAGGGGGTAGGAGGAGGAGGAGGAGGAGGAGGAGGAGAGGAGGAGGAGGAGGAGGAGGAGGAGGGGGAGAAGGAGGAGGAGCGGGAGGAGGAGGGGGAGGAGGTGGAGGAGGAAGAGGAGGAGTTGGAGGAGGAGGAGGAGGAGGAGAGAAGGAAGGGGTAAGAGGAGGAGGAGGAGGAGGAGGAGAGGAGGAGGAGGAGGAGGAGGAGGAGGAGGAGGAGGAGGAGAGGAGGAGGAGGGGCAGGAGGAGCTCGGAGGACCCAGACAGCCTACGTCGCCATCTCTGTCATGGCGCGGACGACCATAGGCCTCGACGCTATCCCTGGGGCAGGCGCCTTGCCTGGGGCAGACGTTCTGCCCTGAGCTCTTCTTGGCGGCCCCGGGCGATGGGGCCCCCGAGTCCCGAAAGGCGAAGACATCTTCCGCCCCGACTTCTGCACGACACGATGGGGGCCTGGGCCCGGCGGCTCCGGGGCTGCCGCTCGGGTGGTCTCTGGGGGCCGCTCGGGATGAGCCGGGCAATTCCCGAAATGCTCTCTCGACGAGGCGCAGCCGGGAATGCCCCCAGGGCAGCGAGACTTCCCGAAAGCCTCCGAGAGCTGCCGCAGCCCTCGCCCTCGGAGCTGCCGGGGGCCGGGCCCCTGCCCGCGCCGGGCGCCCGTCTCCATCGGCCGCCCGCGCGCCCCCGCCACGTCGCCGCGCCCGTCGCTGCGCGCAGGCGTTGCGGGACGGGCCCAAGTTCAACATCGGTGGCGCCCCAAGCCTTGCGCTCCTCCTCCTCCTCCTCCTCCTCCTCCTCCTCCTCCTCCTCCTCCTCCCTCTGTGGAACGGCTTCGGGCTGCGCACAACCCCCCCCCCCCCGGGTGGTCCCGGCTGGCCTCTCACGAGGCCCCCCGAGCAGCCTCAGCTGGCCTCGAAGCAGACCACCCTGATCCGGGGCGGTCTGAACACCTCACCATTCGGGATGGTTCCGATGCCGACCGCCCCAGACTCTTTGAGGGGGCCTGTTGAGACCAGCTGGGGCTGCTCGGGGGGCCCAGCCCGAAGCCTTGCAACTCCCCTTACTCCAGGGGCAGTTTGGGGGGAAGAGGAATAATGAGATGTGGCAAGAGGGGAGGAGGGCGGAGGGAGGAGAGGAGGAGGAGAGGGAGGGAGGAGGAGAGGAGGCGGGAAGGAGGAGGGAGGGTTTGGGTCAGGTGTTGCAGGTGTGTCCTGCCACGCCGTGCCATGACCCGAGCTGCTTCGTCTGGAGGTGTCTGCCCACGTGGACCCTCCCCCCATCAAAAAGAAGCCCAGCCATTCCCTGGGAACCAGCTCTATAACAATCGCCGTCAGTTTTATTCAACTCTGCTTCACAGGCCACTGAAGCCGAGATCGAGGACAAGACGCGGGCATTGACCCAAACTCACGACGTCGGGTGCATGGGCCGTCCTTCTCGTCGTCGGCGTCTTCGCCTTCCTCCTCCTCCTCCTCCTCCGCCTCCTCCTCCCCCTCCTCCTCCTCCGCCTCAACAGATCCCACAGGGAGGCGTTCAGCAAGCACGTGACCACCACCACCAACATCGACCGGCACTTAGAGATGGCGGGCGACATCACAGAGCTGGACCAGGGGCAGCTGGCCTACCTTGTGGAGCAGACACAGAAGCACCTGGCCTCGGCATCATCCAGATCGATGGCGACGGTTAGGACAAGTTTTGCGACTTGGGCGAAGAAGGCGTGGCAGACCAAGGCGGGCATGTTGCACAGGCACGTCAAGCCTAAAGAGGCGCCCAAGTTCGAGATGGCTACTGGACCAGAATTTGTGACAGCAGACCGGACTAGAATCATGAACGCGACAGCTAAGAAGTGGGGGCACATATGGACGGACCCTGTGGACGAGAGGAAGCACATCATCCAGCAGCTAGAGACCACCAGGAAACGGGCGGTTAAAGAGGATTGGGACCGATCGGCATGGAGACGCTGAACAGGGTGCTGCCAGCTACCTCGTCATCAAAAGCGAAGGGTTGGACCAGTTGGACACCACCGACATTGACAGGCTCCCCGCGCGTGGCAAGCAGGATCTGCTGGACATCACTGGGGAGAGTGAGCGGCAGCTTACATGGCCTAGGCAGATATCGGCAACGAAATGTGCGGTTGTGGCCAAGCCAGGACCTGCGGGAGGAGATAGGGTGCTTGCCATGCTCCCATTACCAGTCAAATTGTGGTCCAGAGCGCGTGGAGGAGTTTGCGAGATGTGGGGCGCAGGGCTCTCGGACCACGGGGACGCGGCCATCAAAGGAAGCCCTGCGCCCCGAGCAGGTTCATTACGGGCCATCTTGGGCGACACAGGTGTTGAGTTAGGAGCATCAGCGGTGACACTACTATTGGACATCGAGAAGTTCTACGACACGGCGACGCGGGTCATCCTGATGGGGATTGCATGTGCGGTGGGGTTCCCAGCGGTGGCGGACGGACTGGAGGTGGTCATATTTCTTGGACCGAGATATTTGCAAGAGAGGTCAGCCATCAGCGACGCGATATGGCCCACGCGATCAGTGGTGGCAGGATCGGCACGGGGCGTGACCTTAGCGAAGCTGATCCTTCATCGAGCGCTGGAGGCTGCTCACAGAAGATCACCGAATGCGAGCTTGTGGGCTTTCGTGGATGACGCGGTGGTTAGATGCGAAGGCAGCAAGCAAGTGGTGAGCGACCAGCTAATGCCAGGTTGGAAACGCAGAGGATGACCATCTCGGACAAGACCATGGTAGTTGGCTCGGACCTGAAGGCAGTCAATGAGGTGGCCAGACGACTCCGACGGCAGGGTATACCAGCCAAAGCCAGCCAGTGGTGCGACCGCGGGCTTGGGACTGGACGCATCGGGCGGACGGAAAAGAGTAACCGCGAAGAGCATGCAGAGACAAGTCAGAGACGGCGAAGGCATGCTTAAATATTCAGATTTCGGAGAATCGCAGCACCCAAGAAGAAGGCCAAGGATCTCTACAACGCAGGCGCCCTCCCGCAGGCGATCTTTGGGCAGCAGACGTTCGGCATGATGTCGAAGCGCGAGATCACCCTGCTCAGGCGCCAGGCGGGCTCGGGAGCTGCCGTCGACGGAGGACGGGGTCTTCATCGACGCGGGATGCTTCCAGAAGCTCCTGGACGATTTCGAGGCTAACCTGAGGCGCGACCTGTGGACGACGGCGACCAGGCGCGAAAACGGCGAGAACCTGGAGGAGGGCGGTGACCTGCGGCCCGTCGTCAGGGAACAGAGGAGGTTCGAGCGCGACGGGATGCTCGACCAGCTGGCGCTCAAC